GGGCAGCTGCGGTGGGGGAGCAGGGGACCACGCGGGGCCGGGATGTGCCACCAAGGGATGGACTCACTCCTCTGTCTCCAGCGAGTCAGCTGGGGCAACGTAGTTGCTGGGGATGAAGCCTTCGCACCCTGTTGCTAGCGACCGCGCTTGCCACCACTCCCCTGTCCTGCGACAGAAATGGTGTTGGGTTAGCCCGCGGCACCCGCCACTGGGCACCACTGGCTCCTCCAGGGGCAAATTCCAGAAAAAAAAAAACCAGCAGGGCCACGCAAGCCTTCAGGAGACCCCGAGATGGGGGGACACTGGCAGCACTTACTCCTCCAGCACCTTCAGCCGCTCCCCTTTCTTGAAGCTCAGGTCCCCACTGTGCATCGCCTCGTAGTCGTAGAGCGCCAGCACCACGCTGTCCCCCAAGCCTGCAGCGAGGGAGCTCCCTGGGCACTCCTCTCCGTGCTGGGACGGGGTGCCCGGCCACCCTTGACACATGCAGCCAGGACACGGGGCAGGACCCCCACAGCATCCAGCACCTCCATCTTCATCATGCCACGGCCACATCTGGCCTTCGAGGAAGCCCAGAGCTCCCGTCCCGCTGGGACCAGCAGCATTCGACCCAGGCTGGAGAGGACCCAGCCACGCTCCCCCCACACACTACCACCTCGTGCACCCACCTGCAGCCCCCCCCGGTACCTACCATCCTCGGGTGGCGACACGGCCACGCTGGGGACATTGTTCTGGAAAGTGGGACAAAAGCAGAGACTGAAGTTGCGGGTGGCAGAGACTCGTACCCTGTGGGGGTCTCAGCCCCACCGCAGCCCTGGCCCTCAGCAGCAGTGGCAGGAGGGCACCCAAGGGGCAGCACCTGCACCTCCCGACACAGCAACCCACCCAGTACCGGCACCTCTGCCCCCTGGCAACACCTTCGGTTTTTTCTCCCTTTTTCCATAATTCCTTGATTCCCATCAGGTTTGCACTGTGCTTTGTCCCAGCATGGACCGGAGTCCCATCCCATGGCCAAGACCCCTGCCCGGGGGCATGGGCACTGCCGGTGCCCGCAGCCGGCCCCACTCTCAGCGCTGGCAGTTCCAGCAAGGAGAAGGACTGAGCCCCCCGCAGTGGCTCAGCCCTGTGTCCCTGCCTCACTTGGCAGCTTCCACTCACCCTCCTGTTGGTGGCCGTGGGGTCCTTCACGTAGTGGCCCTGCTGGGAGCTGGGGCCAGGGTCGGTGTCGGTTTTTATCACCTTCTCTTGGATGCCAGCTTCCTTTGACTTCACGCAACCCATCCTGCAGCCAAGGGAGGGCAAGTGAAGCCATTGTGGCAGAGGTGAAAGCCCTGTTCCAGACCCGCTCCCAGCAGCTCCTGCCTGCCACAGCACAGCGTTGGCACATGGCACAGAGCCGATGCCCACCTGGCTGCACTGCTGCGGGCAGAGAGGGCTCCGCTCGCCCAGCAGAGCCGAGGTGGGTGGCAGCCACGGGGCACCGGGGTGCCCAGAAAGGTGCACGGTAGCATGCCGGAGAGGAAAAGGCATGTCCTGGTGCAGAGAGAGGAGAAGTCAGAGGAAGTAAATTTTGGGCAGGTGAGAGCAGCTGCCATGGAGCAGCTTCACCACCCTTCCCCAAAATGGCCTTTCCCGGAGTGGGATGCAGGCACTGAGCATTGTGGTGGGAGAGACCCACTTGGGGTCTTCTGCAAAGTGGGACCCTCATCATGGAGGGGCTCCCCCCTGCCCAGCACTGCTGGTGCTTTTGGCCCCCCCATCCCTCGGTGCAGCCGTGGCCCCTGTGCTGCTGTGGGTCACCGCTTTCCCCTGCGCTCCCCAGCTGCTCTCTGCCAGGGTGGAGCTGCCTCGAAGAGCCAGCAGCCCAGGGCAAATGCAAATGCTCAACTTTCTTCAGCTCCCCAAGAAACATCAGCAGGAAAACATGCCGCAAGAAGCGGCGAGCACGGGGGAAACCCCCTGCAAAGGCACTTCCCTTGTCCGGGGGAGACCTCAGCACAGAGAAAGGAGAAGGTGCTGGCGGTGACAGCAAAGGAGGAAGCTCAGGGCTGAGCGAGGCCCCACGATGTGCACAGCACCGCTGGCCTCGCTGGGGGAGCAGCCGGGCACCGGCAGCACCACCTCGCTCCGACGGCCTTTGAGGGACATCGCTGTCACCTCCCAGCCACCCCACGGTCACTCCTCGTCCTTCCCAGCGTGCCAAAGCCTGGGCTGGCCCCACTCCCCAGGGCAGAGCAGGAGCAGGAGCAGCAGCGGCAGCCCCAGACAGCACGTCCCCCTCGTCAGGGATGCCCCAGGCTCAGGCTCAGGACCGGCCGCTGGCAAAGCCCAGTGCCGGGTCCATCCTGGCAAACCCATGGAGCGCTTGACTGCCACGGCCCGTGCCGGCACCGCAGCAGGCATTTGCTCTGCCCGTCCTGCACCAGCTCGGAGCATTCGGCCCTACAAAGCACAAACACCTCTGGGGGGTCCGAGCATCCCACGGCATCCCGGTGCATTGCCACACACGCAGCGACCGGGTGACCATGGCTCTCCCGCCAGCTCTTGCAACGCAGCGCTGAGGCCTGCTGGCGCAGGGAACACCGGCGGGAGCAGCCGTTCCCAGTGCATCCCAGCCTGGAGAGCCGTGTCCCAAAACCCGGGTGGCTGTCCCCAGCCATGGGGACCAGGCGGGATGGGGGGAGCCCATCGAGCGGCCCCACACCCTCACTGGCGGGGCAGGCGGTGGTGGGTCCCCGACAGCCCCTGCAAGGTCACCGGCAGGGATCACCTCCCCGGGGTTGCACCGTGCCCCCCCCTCCGGGATACGCTGCCACCCCCGGGCATCACCTCCCCCCCGGGCACCCAGGGACCGCCGCACCGACCGGGGCCGGGCCGGGGCCGGCACGGAGACGGACCGAGGCAGCGGCGGATGGTCGGGGGGAGGGAAGGACCGACCGACCGGACTGCCCAGGACCGGCACCAGGGCTGCCCGGGACCGGGACCGGGACCGGGACCGGGACCGGGACCGGGACCGGGACTCC